CAGCTCTCCCAGGTTCAGGAGCGTCTGCCGGAGCCGAGGGCTCGGGATGTTCCACGGGAGAGTCCTGCATGAGCAGCGCGCGGGTTGGAAACCCCGCGAAGCGGGGACGAGGCGACGCATAGACACCGGTTGTTCAGTCTGCGGCTAATTGAGCTTTAATTATCGCGTGCTCTCGCGGGGGGCAGGAGGGGTTCCTCTTGCGCCCTCGGCACTTGGGCGCTGGCTGACCCGCAGCGGGGTCTCGCGCTGTAGGCAAAGACGCTCTGGTGCGGCGCAACGCCGCCTTACGGTCCATGCGCTGACCTACCTACTTGTAAAACCGGCGGGGAGGGAGAGTCTCGCCTTAGGAACACTGTGAATTCACTAATTGATCAGCAACACCTGGAAAATCGAAAGCTTTTAATTAAAAACATCAGTACCAGCTCCCTCTGTTTGTGTTGACTCTGAAGGAACAAAGCAGCGCGGTGGCTTTGTCCTCAGGTTTCGTTTCAGTCTTTCCTCGCGCAGCAGGAACCGGGAAAAGGGAAAACAGGGATTCAGCGACGCCATCCCTCGCGTTCGCTCGTGGCTACTGCAGTCACCAGCCGAGGTTCCACGTCTGCCAGCGCCCCTTCCCCCGGAGTTCAGGTACAAATGCTCCCACGCGCGCTGGGGAAACCCGATGTCGGGATTAATCTGGCCCCAACAGTCGCGCAGTTATCGGGGAACAGCCGTGACGTGCCCGGGGTGCCCACGCAGCAAGACGCGCAGACGCCACCTCCAGCAACAAGGGGCCGGATCTGCTTCGCGTCTGCCCATCCCTGGAACGCACCGCGTTTGTACTAACCCCTTGGATCGTTCCGGCAAACTGCTGCTCGGAACGACTGCGCCTCGCAGCGCTCACCTGGGTAAGGGAACGCGTTCCAGAGACACTGAGGGCTTTGCCCTTCGTTGGAAAGAAAGCTGGCGAGAAGTTCTTACTGGAAACGCTGTAAAAACTGAGTTTTGTGAATTGAAGGATATTATCCATCAGCTGAGGCTGCTGAGGACGGGGAAGACGTGACAATTCACGACTCAACTGTGTATTTAGGGAGAGGAGAGAGATGTAATTGCCCACAGCTACAGACAATTGTCATAATTAAAGGGAAAAAAAAAATCACTGGCTTTTTCTCCTAAAGCATTCGCTGCAGTCATGTTGCAGGGGGCAGTAAAACAGCCCCTGAGATGATGCTTCTCGTGCAGTCGCAGGCTGCTGGCACCCACCCTGACAGGGCATAGATGCAGCAGCCGGGCCCCGGGGGCTCAGCCCGGCCTTCGCTTAGCCCAGCCTCGGGGCTCAGCCCAGTCTCAGGGTCAGCCCGGTCTCAGGGGCAGCCCGGTCTCAGGGGCAGCCAGGCCTCAGGCTCAGCCCGGCCTCGGGGCCAGCCCGGCAGTGGCACCAGGATGGGGAAAACCAGCCGAGGTCTGACACGACTGATAAAAACTAATCAAGGGCACCCGGCCCAAGGCAGGTGTGGAATACAGCGGGGCCCGGACGAGCAATGCAGAGCACACCGCTCAGCCCGGCGAGGCTGCAAGCCAAACCCTGCAGCACCGTGGGTCCATTGGTTCCAGGAGGAAGAGGGTTGTGGAGGGAGCGCGGACTGAGTGCCGAGAGACCCGGCGAGGGCGAGGGCGTGTTACTGCTGCTGTCGACGTGTGTTTTATGTCAGTGTTTGGTTTTATTTACAGCCCTTCAGTAATTATAAAGCCACACTAATTAGTACTGCTGGCCTAATCCACGTTACCGTCTCATCCCTAACGAGAGTCCCATGTAACGGACTCCCAGCGATGGCAGAGAACTTGAGCTCTTTGAGAATCTTTGAGCTCTTTGAGAATCTGGAGTACGGTCGGGTTATGAAGGCACCGCGTACCCGCACCGCGTCGCTCCTCACCACTTGATGTTGAACCTGGCACCCGCCTTCTCCACCGCGTGGTACTGCGTGCGCAGGGCTTTCGCGGCCGCGGCCGACTCGCCCCCAGCCACTGCTCGTACAGTTCGTTTATAGTCGGGTTCTTCTCGGGAATTTCGGTCTGCAGAGACTCATACAGCCTCTCAACTTGCTGAAGCTGGTCCTTGCTGGATTCGCCCTCCGGTTTGATCTGACCCCCGCCGTTTAAACAGCCTGTGTGCGACAAAGGGAGCAAACGGCACCGCGCTGGGGCCCCACTTCGGCTTTACCAGGAAAACCCCAACCGGGGTTAATTACCTCCGCACCCGCAGCCAGCAGCGGCGATGCCAGCAGCGGCGTAGTAGTGGGTTACTCCCCCGTTCGTTATCTAACACCAGCAGGGCGGGTGCAGCCTCAGGGGGAAGATCGTTGGCTTGGTGTGCCCCAGTGCTAATTCAGCGGCACTGGGATGTGCTAATTGCCCTAATTAGCCCCAGTGCTAATTCCCCAGCGCTGGGGAGGCAGAAGCAGGGAGCTCTGGCTCTTATCTGGTGCCTCCAGAAAAGGGCCAGGACACAACCCAGCCGAACAGCCAGAGTCTCCGCTGTAGGTACGTGTGTGTCCGGGAGGTGCTGTGGGCGCGCTGCCAGGGCGGAGGCGCTCTCCGAGCTGCGCAGCGTCCGGGTGCCCAGCAGCCTCTCCAGCCTTGGGAGAGTCATTGCTCAGTGCCAGGAGAGGCAGCTCAGCCTCCTGGGGCCGGGTTCGAGCTGCTCTCTGCTAGTAGATTCAGAGAGAACCAGGGGGCAGGGAGAGGAGGGCTCGCACAAAGTGGAAAAGGGAATAAAACAGGGAGAGACGTTGCTCACCAGCCGCAGCAAGCGCTCTCTAAAAGCCTAACGGGCAACGTGAGCTGCTTACAGCTATGGCTTGTCCCAGCGAAACCCCGGGCAGCCTCACCTGACGGGCAGGCCATGACCTCCACGTAGTGATAGGGCGACTTCCCTCGTTTCAGCTTTTGCACCAAGTTCTGGATGTTCCGAAAGCCATACGCCAAAGCAAACTGGAGCAGGACAACTCCATCCTTCTCCAGTGTCACCTCCTGGAAGTCCTTGTTTCTGAGGAACAAGAGCACAGGCAATGTCTTATCCAAATTAACTTCTATTTTAAACTTCAAAGAGCCCTGTGCTAAACCAAAGTTCTCCGCAATCTTGTTCAAGAAAGCTGTCCTACTTCTCTGACACCCAAACAAAACAGACGAGGAACTCCCAGATCCTTTTCCAAGGAACTTGTTTCAGGACCTGCCACCCAAATGGAGCTCGCTGAAGACCATCTGTGGTGAATAAATCCTTAAAATCCAAGGAAATGGAGCCGAAACAGAAAATTTCGTCGTGACAGGCCTCCTGCGTTGGCTGACAGCATGTGCGTTAGTGAGGCCACTGAGGTAACTTTAAGTTGCAGTGGGACTTAACACCAGGGAGCAAATCCTTACTGAAGGCTTCCAGGCTCCTAAGGGTGGTGGAAATACCCATTCCTGGTAAAAGAGTAAGTAATTTGGTTTTTATCAAGTATTTCATATCGAGACTCTGGGGGACTGTTCCTTCTGCTTCCCAGACCAGAGAATCCTCAACAGACACCACTGACAACACCAAAATAAAGCGCGTGGGCGGTGGAGGGGCTCCAAGGCTGAGGGAAACGCCGGCTGATTTATCGCTCGGCAGCTGCGGGAGCGAGAAGGCGATTCCCAGGCCTCAGAGCAAAATGTTTAACGTCGCAGAGAAGGTTTCAGCCACCAGCAAGAAAAGAGCATGAACAGAACTGCGATTAACGGCTTCTGCAGGATTTTCAACTTCTTACTTTAAAGGTTTGTACTGAATCGCGTCCACTTCAATGCCAAAGAGTTCCTTGGCTGCGTACGTGTAGACGTGCTCCAGGTAACCACCCGACCCGCCTCCCGAGTGGCCAGTGAGCTCCTCTCCTGCCGCACTCCTGAACCTGTGGGAAGGGAAGAACCGCTTTTAGGGGAATCTTTGAGAAAAAAGAACAGCCAGCGCAAACGCAAAGGTCCAGGGGACTCAAAAGCAACAGAACAAGCCATACACCAGCTCCCTTTGACCTCCAAGCTTTTCCCTTTCTCCTGGGAACCAACTATTTATAGCACCGGAGCCCGGCAGACTTCACCCTGCATACCCTTTGGGTCGAGCTCAGTGGACATACTGC